AAGGAGGGGGCTTTGTAGAAAACGAAGCGTTTGAGAGAGGCGGGGCATAGAGGACCTACAATAATGTACAGTATTTGAAAAATAATGTGTTTTTTGAACATTAAAGCATGTCAACATATTCTGTTACACCAAATACACAAAATAATGATCTTTAAAAAAGCATCATATGACCCCTTTAAAGTCTGTAAATGCATCGGATTACGTGTACAAGTAAAATGGATTGACAGAGCAATTTTAAATGAGAGTCATAAGTTTAGTTTGGACGTGCCAATGAAAATACAGAATGCATTCCTGAAATGTTAGCAAAAGGTTAAGATCCTTACCAGACCACCTCGCCGACATTTGAGGAGATGAGGTAGCGGATGAATTGTTTCATGTTGTTGTAAATGGCTCGACCCTCTTCCACAGCAGCCACAATGGTGGCAAAGTTATCGTCAGCAAGGACCATCTCAGAGGCAGTCTTAGCCACGGCTGTGCCTGAGCCCATAGCAATGCCAATTTCAGCCTTTTTCAGAGCAGGTGCATCATTCACACCATCTCCAGTCTGTGGGAATGAACACAGGATGGCAGGTCAGCTGAGAGAGAATGATTCCAACAATATAAACCATCCAGAAGAAATCCTTCCATGTTTATAGTCATTTAATGTAGAATCATACTTATATAAATATGCACTACTGTTGAAAAGTTTGGAGTCAGGACATTTAAAGACATTTATAATGTTAAATTATAGATTAATGTTAAATAATTATAAATTCTAATGTTTAGAAGATTTCTAATATTTCAAATAAATGTTTTTTAAATTTCTATTCAAGTCTGAAAGAAATATATGACTGTTAGCAGCACAACTATTTTCAACACTGATAATAATAAGAAATGTTTCTTGAGCATCAAATCAGCATATTAGAATGATTTCTGAAGGATCATGTGACACTAAAGACTGGAGTAATGGCTGCAAAAAATTCAACTTTGCTATCACACAAATAAAGCACATTTTAAAATATATTTGAATAGGTAACATTTATTTTTATCTTTTTTTATCAAATAAATGCAGCTTTGGTGAGTGTAAGAGATTTTTAAAAACATCAAAAAAAAATCTTACCAAACCCAAGTTTTTGAAAAGTAGTATATATACAGTATAAAACCTTTCAATGAGTTTGTGTTATGATTTCACTGGATTCTAGTTTACCATGGCAGTGATCTCATCGTGGGACTGCAGAAACTCCACAATCTTGGATTTGTGAGATGGCTCGACACGGGCAAAGCAACGGGCAGTGAGCACTGCCTCGCGCTGGGTGGCAGCAGACAGATCGTCAAACTCACGGCCAGTGTAGGCCATTTGTGATACATCGTTGTCCTCTCCAAAGATTCCAACGCGTCTGCAGATGGCGACGGCCGTGCCCTTGTTGTCGCCTGTGATCATGATGACTCGGATGCCCGCTTGACGACAAAGTTTGATGGAAGCTGCCACCTCAGCTCTGGGCGGATCCAGCATGCCCACACATCCCACAAAGGTCATGTCCGTCTATAGGAAAAGCAGCAATTATGATAACAGGCTATTAATAAATAAAAATGTATAATTAATTATGTATATGCTATAGCAGAAATGCCCTTCTCACCTCATACTCAATGAATCTGCTTGAGTCCTCCAGTACCATACTCTCTTTACTCATTGGGTTGTCTCGGGTGGCCAGAGCCAGACAGCGCAGTGTGTCACGTCCTGTGCCATACTCACGGATCACCGACATGATCTTCTCTTTAACGCCTGCTGTCAGTGCAACCTTATTCCCACCTACACGAATGTGCGTGCATCTGTCAATAACTCCCTCTGGAGCTCCCTGCACCCAGACACAATGAGTTTAAGGAAGTTGCAGGCACTTTGTTGCACCACAATACATTTCAAACATAAAGCAGACCTGTGTGGAACAGCTAAATGAAACACTGGAGTGTTAAAGTTTTCCTGAAAAGTGTGATGTTACCTTAACAAACATCTTGCCAATGGAGGAGTGAGCTTTGTTGGGAGTGCAATAGACCGACATGGACTTCCTGTCTCGGGAGAACTCCAGAGTGAATTCCTTCTTCATCAGTTGCTTGATGACCTGAGATCAAGATCAACAAAATACTCATATAGATATTAGAGCTGCCATGGCATCAAACACCAGAAACCATTTTGGAAATAAATGTGGGCTTCCACAACCGCACGACCCACTAGAGTTGCAACCAACTCAAAATCTGCAGTTGGAAATGTCTAACTTACCGAGTTGCAGGAGTTTGCCCTCTCAACCTTGGAAAGGCCCTTCAGTTGCGTGTCAAACACGTTCATTTTCTCCACCAGGCAGGTGAGGGCGGTCTCTGTGGCTTCACCCACCTTCTCGTACACACCTTTGGCCTGACATAGAAAGCAATTCTTTAGAAACGTTTCAAAAATGCTGTTTGATAATTAAATGTAAGCACTAGGGTACACTGCTATTAACATTAATTCTATTAAAATCATATATTAATCTTTTAATTAATTATACAAAAAGATTTGGTAACACTTTAGTATAGGGAACAATTCTCACTATTAACTAGTTGCTTATTAGTATGCCTATTACTAACATACTGGCTGTTTATTAGTGCTTATAAAGCAGATATTCTGCATGACCATATTCTACATCCCTAATCAAACACAATACCTAAACTTAACATCTACCTTACTAACTATTAATAAGCAGCAAATCAGGAGTTTGAGGCAAAAGTCGTAATTAATGGTTTGTTAATAGCGAGAATTGGACCTTAAAATAAAATGTGACCAAAGATTCTATTTAAAAAAATTATATAACAAATATAATCGTAATGCTTCAAGTGATCACAACATTATAATGTACTGCATAAAAAACAGACCTTTTGAGATTTTCAAGATTTCTTTAACAGCATTATTAAATTAAAAGTGACCATTAGTTGGCAGAAAAGGTCATTAATATACTATATCAGCCAATACAGATCATATATGATAAATTAATATTTGTTATTTATATTAATTATACATATATTAAAAATAAATGACATACTGTATTTTTTAAACAAGTGACTTATAGAGGTTTCTATAAAACTACAAAATACTAGAAAATACTTTAAAAAAATACTGGAAAATGTTAAACAAAAGACAATTGTATTAAAAGTTTATTTTAAAGCAACTTCATTCATTAAATCACATTCATCTGCTAGAACAAACAATTCTAGACATTAGTTCCTACCTTCTGTGTGTGAACAGGTGTTTTACATTCTAGCTGTTACTACATTGTGTATTTCAGCACAACAAGGGTGCTGCATTTACCAGAACATGTTAATTACAAACCTCATTGTAATCCAGAGAGGAGTCATTGCACAGAGCACAGATGGTGGCCATTTCAACCAGAGCGTCATACTGGGAGCATCGGACTGGTTTATCCTCATGAAACCTGGAGCGTAAAAAAAAAAAAGAGGATGAATAACAGAGGCGGCTAATGCACTTTGAGTTACCAGTGTGCATGTGGGGCAGTAAAACTCACACTTGTCCATCAGGGGCGTATGTGGAGCCAGTAATGGTGAACTCTTTGAGAGAGCAGCTGTTTCCATTTGCCTGATCAACAATGAACATCTGCAACAAAAAACATTTTAAAAAATCAAGCAAGCTCTCTACCAGCAGGTGGCAGAACAATCCGCTACAGAATATGTCTGATGTTTGAAAACATCCCTACTCCACCTGACCTGGATATACCAGCACTACAGATGTAAACACTTTATATGACACTCACTTACGAGTGAACCTGAGTTCAGAGGGGCTTTAAAACCCCTCCAAAAATCCTGAAACATAAGCAAATGAGCATTAAGGCTATTTTTAAGCACTGAGGACAATCAGATCCCCCGGATTTGTCAAGAAAGAGAAGAGAAGAGAATAAAAGAGATGAGAGTGAGTGGGATGGTAAAGTGGAACAGTGTTCCTGCTGTAGTGCTAAAACCCAGCGGACAACAGTCGAAAGATGGAGACAGACGTGTGTGGGGGAGAGAGAACAAGACAGGCATTAATCTCTAAGGCGCTGGGCACTGCTGAGAATGAAGGCATTAGCAGAAAAACTCAAATATGAAACATATCCAAGCTATTAGATAGTGAGAAACGGGGAAAATATGATAGAAAACTAAATCCAAACTAGTTAACACTTTCTCAAGAAAAAGCTAGAGGTGCTTGGGTGGCAAAACACTAATACCATAGTGCTTCCATGCGATTTTTATCATGCTTCTGTGCACTTTTTAAAAACAAAGTTTCCTTGACATTTACATGACCTTCACAATAATTTGAGGAAAGATCATTTCACCAGATGAGAACGGAGTCAGTAATGGATCATTCAGATCATTTTGAAACCAGAACCGGTTTGAATGATTCCCTGAAAGGAGCAGACTCGAAAGAACAATCTGGTTCTATCTGCATTCCGAGTAGTTTTGAGATATTGAGCTTCAAAGTTTTTTGCATTCCATTCGACTGTGTAGATAGAACCTTTTTGTTTTTTTAAATAAAAAATCCCAACATGTACGCAACTATAAAATATCACATAATGTAAATAGGTTGTCACAGAATAAGAATATGTGAATAACTAAATTTTGACAAAAATGTCAGATAGAACCTTATAATTCCAAGGGGACACAATGTTTTGCATTACTTTTTTTTTTTTTTTGGCCAAAATGTTTCTGTTTGGCTGAACTAGGACTATTATTTTGACAGCACTGGGACTTTTATTCTGAAAGCGCCAAAAGCATTTACCAGAATGCATTGTGCACAGTTGCTTAAGGTGCTTACTTCCTTTTTATTTCAAGTTTTAAATTAATTTATCTGTGAAAATACAATAACAGGATTACAGAATCAAGAAGTTGCTATCTAAAGTACACTAAATGGCAAATTTTCAAATGCATTTTTTTATATCGATTCATTTTTTTTAGTAAATATGATGTAAAAAAATATATATCATTTTAATTGTAGCTTGTGTGTAAAATTAAATGTATATCATATCAGCCACCCTGCTTCTCAGCATTAATGTCAAAAATCCATATCGGGCGAACGTAATGGCGCCTTAATAAGATGCAAGATTAGTGGTATTGTGTGTGTCTGTAGCGGAAACAGTGCAGGATGACTTACACGTTTAATACAAGTACAAGTTTAATACTTAGGGTTAGGGTTAACAAGATTACATTCCTTCTGTTGAAACATGGCTAATTTTAGATGCACCCTTCTCATATAGTATTATTTTAGACAGTCGAGGCAAACGGGACATTTAGGGTAAAGATTATTTTGGTTTAGCTACATCCTGAGCATTCACAGAAATCATCTATTAAGAATAAAAACAAGCCTGGTACTAACTTCAATCTTTATAAGGCAGAAAACAGATTGAAATCAGCAGCGCCACACATTCGGCTTACATGAGTGTACAGTTCAGCCCACAGCGAAGGAACTGCTGTGGATCACAGACAGATCTCACACACAAGGTCAGTTATGCAACACTACTGCAAGTAACTGACTACCGCATACTAATCAGCTCTCACAGTAAAGGTGGAAAAGAACAGAGAGAGAAGAACAGATGAGGGGGAAGACAAAAGTTGAGAGGAGAAAAGTACAGGATGAGGGGGAGATAATAAAATAAACCTTTAAAATGAATCCTGTCAAACAGGAAAACAACATAAAAGGAAATCCAGAGGCAAACTGGGGTGGTCCAACACAAGGTCATGAGGAACACAAACATAAAACAAAATTATTAATCATGCCAATATCAAAGCTGCAGTTGAATAGTTTTCCCACGGCTTTCATTTGAGCCACATACTAATGCTAAATCAATACCATCACGAACATGTCTTTTTTTTATTCATGAGTATTTTCAGCCAATTGTCTGCAGTAATATTGCTCTCGGTTCTTGGCTGAACCCCAGCCCGCAAATTTCTAAACAATAACAGACTCGCTATTGCCAAAGATTGAAATTATGGGCTAAACAGAATTTGTAATAGCCGGGGGTTGTAAGTTATTATTTCCTCTTTGATGAGCCCTGAAGCTGCTCACTTCAAACGGCTGTAACATCCCCAGCATTCTTACCCTGCAAACGGACATCTGGTTGGTGGTCAGCGTGCCGGTCTTGTCGGAGCAGATGACGGAGGTGCAGCCGAGGGTCTCCACCGAGGGCAGAGAGCGTACTATGGCATTCTTCTTGGCCATGCGACGGGTACCCAGAGCCAGACAGGTGGTGATGACGGCGGGCAGGCCTTCGGGGATGGCGGCCACAGCCAGTGCAACAGCGATCTTGAAGTAGTACACGGCCCCGCGGATCCACGAGCCGCCGTGAACGGGATCGCTGAAGTGTCCGATGTTGATGATCCACACAGCGATGCAGATGAGCGAGATGACCTTGGAGAGCTGCTGGCCGAACTCGTCCAGTTTCTGCTGCAGCGGCGTGCGCTCCTGCTCTGTGGATGCCATCTCATCACGGATTTTGCCGATTTCGGTGTTCACGCCTGTGGCAACCACTACACCCACTGCTTTGCCTGCAGCAATGTTGGTACCCTGTAAACATGAAGTCAAAGGGCAGTTTTAAAGCTATAAATTATGATCATCCTGAACATAAACAACCTAATATCTCCTTTAAGTTTACTAGGAACTTAAAAGTTTTCTGTGAGAAAATTAGTCCTAAACCATGCAGATAAAGATGCACAAATCACACAATATTCAAGATTTTTTTTTTTTATTAAATTGGAATCTACCAGCATTGGATATTTCACTGTGTATGCTTATTTGCTTTATATTTATATCTAGATTACCCTAATAGTTTTTCTTAAAAACATTAATAATTTAATAATAATAATAATTTAAATGTAACTTTTACATTTGTATTATAATGTTGTGATGCCTGTATCATTAATTTTTAACAGTTTTATTTTTATTTTAGACAACAGTATACGTTTTAATATCGGCCATTATGAGCTGTAACATGAAAATAAACATCGGCTCATCAGTTTCAACCATAATTTTAAAATCTCGAAATACAAATTCCTTACATCTGGACAAAAACAACCCTTTTGCTTACTTGACAGTAAGAAATGTTTCTTGAGCAGCAAATCAGAATCATCAGAATGATTTCTGTAAGGAGGATCATGTGACACTGAAGACTGGAGTAATGGCTACTGAAAATTCAGCTTTTCCCATCACAGGAATAAATTACATTTTATAATACAAAAAAAAAGTTATTTTTAAATGTAATAATGTATCACAATAAAACTATTTTTAATCAAATAAATACTGCCTTGGTGAGCATTAGAGACTTATTTTAAGAACATTAAAAAAATCTTACCAAGCCCAAACCTTTAAACAGTACCGTACTTTAATTTTTTTTTGGGGGGGGAAAAAAAATCGAACTCTAAATATGAGCACAAATAATAACAAGGTCTGCATTCTCAGGCACCACAAATAATAAGCTCACAGCAGTCATCAGAGATGTGACTTACAGAGAAGAGCATGTTCTTCTTGTCCTGGTTCACAGCACGAGGGTCAGGGACAGGGTCTGTATGCTTGATTACTGACACAGATTCTCCTGTGAAGATACAGATGACAAGTTGGTGAAATCAAAATTCTACTACTACCACCTGACTGCCCTCTAAGCTTAGAGTAGTACAAGAGGATCAGGTTAGTAGTTCATCAGGCAGGAGGCCAAATTTAAGTCCTTGATGGGCATTTGTGTAATTGCTTAAACGGTTCAGTACTGGTCAGGATGGCAAAGAATCCCAACAAAAAACAGCCATGGATGGGGCAGCTAAAATATGTGGAGAAGTCGAACAGACCATTACCAATTAAGGCAGTGAAGCAAGACCTGACTCCTACAAGAGCACTTCCTTTCTGTCTTTCCCCTTTACTGGACTGCAGAAACTGAGCACAGCTGACCTCCCTTTAAAATAAGAAGCACTGAACCTTCTCAGAAAAAAAGACAAAACTTATTTTTCCACCTCATATCAACTACTGAACTGACTTTATAAGGTGGCTTACTGTGGCAATGTTTCCTGCACTGCTGTTCAATGGAATGTCTGCGCTGCTGAATTTACTGCAACAATAGAAACTTTATTTAACCAAAGTTTTGTGATTAGATAAAAAGATACTGTGGAATTATACAAATAAAAAAAATTAGACTAAACATCTTTGATTGTGTTGTCTTCAAAAATCTTCAAAAAGGCTGCAAAAATCCTGGGTAGAAAAATAGTCATAAAGTCACATTAGACACACAAAACAACAAATGCTATATGCACTTCACTTACTTCCATTCATGTTCATGCAAATCCAGGAGAAATGCAAGCACATGAGTAGTAGGTCTGCCTTTTACTAAGTTTAGTGAACTCTAGGCAGATATTCGCATTACGAAAAGATATTTGAGCGCAACATCATATATTAACCTCTAAGCGGAGTACAAACTAAGAATACAAATTTCAAAGTCACATATAGACTGCTAGAGAAAAGTGAAGTAGATTCAAACATTTTGAATTCAGAATTTGTAGTATTTAAACGTTTTGAATTTATTTCATGCTACATAGGATACGTTATTTATTAAAAACAGAATCCCTAGAGTGTGATATATCCGGTTGCTGATAAAACTATTAGTATTTTCACCTGCGTCACCTTCAAAAAGTCAACATGGATTAATAAAACCATTGTTCTCACCTGTTAGAATGGACTGGTCCACCCTCAGGGTTGTTGACTTGATTGAAGTCAAGCGAATGTCAGCAGGAACTTTGTCACCCACTAAAAGGAAACAAAAACATGCTGTTAGATGGAGATAAATCCAGTGCTTGAAGTGAACAAGGCCAGCCAAAATAACACTGTCATGGCGTTCCAAATTTATAAGAACATATCAAACAGCAATAAAAGAGCCAGAACACTTCAGAAGAAAGGTACAAGCAAAGCAAAACAGCTGTACCACCGATGACAGTAAAGGTGCCACTACACTTTCAAATGTCAAGTTGAAACCATGAACCACCAAGAAAGAAGCTCTTGAATCTCAAGTATCGGCTTTACACCTAATGGCTTGGCAATTGACGATAATGGATTGTGCTTTCAAAGGATGAAATGAAGGCCAAAAATACACCACTCCTCTAAAAAGAAAACAGTACATACCATGTTATCATGGGGTAGTTGGGTTTCAATTTCAACAGTTTTTTCAGAAACCTTTTAAGGCGCACTTAAGTTCTTAAGCAAGCTTTACAAAACAAAATATCACAAGAATTATGGCAATGCTTCATCTCATCCAGGCCTTTTTAAGTCACACAGTAGAATCATCTCAGCATCTACAGACACTGTTGTGAATCTGCAGATCACCAGTACTTGGCACCTATACTCGAGAAAAGCCTCCAACAACATTTTTCTGGACAGGACCTACACTGAAGAGGTTAATGAACAGCATCAAAAGCTTTGAAACGTTCTTGTTCGACTTGGACGTGGACAAAAATAGACTCTGCTTCACTCTTTCCACAAACAGAGGGGGGTTTAGTACTTGCTACTAGGAAAAGAGCAAATGTAAATACCTTAATCTTTTCCAAACAAATCTCTTAATGAGCAAGACGGCGGATTCTTGAGCTCGCTAAAACGCTTGACGTTTATTAGTCATTTGAGATGGCGTCCGTTTGAATCTGCTGCTTGACATGTAAATAGAGTTATTGAAAGGCCAAGGAAATGACGAAGAACCTTTTCACAGGATGTTCTAGGTGGAAAGAACTTCAAATAACCTGCGGATAAGGTCCTGGATGCTTTGCCTTTTCTGGACTAAGTTTTCACCAACATGCAAGCGCACTGATAGGCCTCTATGCCCCTTTTAATGGAGTGGAAGACATGACTGGTGGTATCAGAACAACAACCGACACAGGTCCAAAAATGGAAAAGCTATTCTGATATGAACTATGGTGCATGGTCAAGCTAACACTCAATGTAAACAGATTTTGTTTGAGATGAGACTATTAGTGCATAGAATGTAGAGATACTTACAAACTATATATAGTTGACATCGTACATTTTGTGCAATATATTACATGTATTGCCACTGAACATGCTTAATTAGATTTATACACCACACACTTAGACGGTGAAGTGCACTCAGTGCTGCTCTATGAGGGGGCTCTAGGTATTAAAAATAAAAACTATGATCCAATTTTTAAAAATACACATTCAAAATGCCTCTAAACTAAACTAAAGAATGTGGAACATAATTCCGATATATAGCCCAAGTTAGAAAAAGGTCATGTAACAGGGTAACCTACTTTTAGGTAGACAAGGAGAGAAAGTCTTGTAAGAATAGATCGTAGAAAAATCATTTTTGGACCGTTTAATATTTTAATAACACTGGTTAATGGCAAAGAGTTACAAAGTAAAAAACTGCACAAGCCTCAGGCCTTTTAATTAAAAGAAAGAATGCTCAATAACATCTTCAAAGGTCTGCTATGCCATAAAGCTTAGAGTTTTATTATCGATCCCTTGATGATTTCATCTAATGGTGCTCAGAGAGACAAGAACCAACCCAAAACACGAAAATCAAGGTCACTTTCACTCAGTCAAAACAAGGAAGTTAAAAAGCTAACAGAGCAAGTGGTTGTGTCGTATTTGCTGCTAATGGGTGGTTGGAAACAAACTACTCCTCAATGACTTAAAGGAATGCTTCTTCCTCTTCCTGAGAAAGAGCATAGGACCTCATTTGGTTGTGATACCAGTTGCAGCAATTCCAAGTGAGAGTTATTCACTGGTAAATCATGTGGTCTTAACTACACAAGATATTCACCTTTGGATGAGCAAGCCATTCAAACAGAAAGAGACTATACTGTGAAATAGTCAAATAAATTACAGTAGATAACTTAAAAGTAGTCTAGATGGTAGCTAACTATGTTTTTAGCAATTTCTATGTGGTTGCTAGGGTGTTATGGGTGGTTGCTAGGTGGTAAAGTCAAAGGAGCCAACAAAATCTTCTATCCCAGGTTTATTAATAATAAAAAAAAATAAAAACCACAACACACACTAATCAAAAAGGTGGTAAAGTCAAAGGAGCCAACAAAATCTTCTATCCCAGGTTTATTAATAATAAAAAAAATAAAAACCACAACACACACTAATCAAAACAAAACAAAACAAAACAAGCAATAGTGCTCTTAGCAAATGCAAATAAAAATGAAATTAAATTTAGGGGTGTAAGTAGTTAACTTCCAGAATTTAAATTTCTTTTCGACTGAAGAAAGACATGAACATCTTTGATGACAAGGGGGTGAGTAAATAATCAGGAAATTTTAATTCTGAAAGTGAACTACTCCATTAAGCCAGCATGCATCATTGGTTGACGGTAGCTCGTAGAAAACGAAAGGGACACCTTGACAGCTAACATGTTAGTAAGCAAACTTTAGGGAGGCCTAATCCCTTCTTCAAAGGGAGCATTAACAGTTCCTCGCATTGTCGCTGATTGCCTTTGGCTGGTTTGCGTAAAGAACGCTCCCTCCCAGCAGTCTTAATTTGCTGGAGCTCCCTTGGGGGCTCTTCTCAAGGGAACCGACAGTGAGGGCCGCAAGTGCAGTGATGACCCGATCACGTAAACACACAGGGCCGGATATGCTCCCTGTCATACAGACAACTTGTCCTCCAAAAGCCTGTTCCCACTGTTGCCGATGGGACCGAACGGGTGGACAGCAAGAGAGAACAAAGAGCAGAACACCTCCCCTTTAAAAATGAGGAGAGAGAGAGAGAGAAAAAAAAAAGAGAGCACCCATCTGGCTCACTGATTATTTATCTCGTCAAATCTGGTCAACTCTTAACTGCACATCCTGTCTCTGTCCTTCATTCACGCTCTTGCTCGCTCTCCACCGGGACGGGGTGGTCGTTTAGGCTCCAGGCCTATAGTAAGGTCATGTCGCAGAGCTGTACGCACATTGAAATGCCCCACCTGAGCGATTGCAGAGCAACCTCGATTTAGTATTTCTAAGGACGATTACCACGAGTCAGAGCCGTAACCATAGCAAAGGAAACAATCTTGGTTCATTAGCAGAGCGGCGCAGTAAATTTAGAAGCTGGAGGATTGCAAAAAAAAAAGAAAAAAAAAGTGTGTCGCTGAGAGGAAGACGACATTAATTTGTGGACAGGAAGTAATACAATGAATATAAAACCACAAAAGCTAGTCTACACTGGCTGCTTGTCACTTTCTCCCCGACGTGATCGGCATTCGCACTGCAGTGGTTAGCATGTGGCAAAAGCAGTTTCTAACGCTTTCCATTACCCCTTTTTAAGGACAATTCCTCAAGTGGCTTGCATCAGCATTGTGCTGTACTGTATTCCTTTGGGTCAAACAGGGACTTGGTCTACACTTGTCCCCATCCCCCAGCATCCTCCTGCGATTAGTCTCCTTGGCTAATGTCTCACTACACTGATGTCCCTCAAGGTGAGGCCTCTATTAAGAGAAGAGTGACTGAGAAACAGAAAAAGTCAAGAGGCAACACCTAAATGTGACTGATTCAGTGGTTGTGAAAATCAAATGTTAATGTGCAGTCATAGTAAAATATTAGATTTTATACATTTTGGCGATAATACAAAGCTCTTTTTGCTTAATGTTTCAAGTTTGTTTAATTGTCTGCTTTAAGCCAGAAGACCACATTTGCAATATAACAGAAGTAGTGACAGATATTTTCTTCCATATTGATTAAGTAACAAGCGCAAAAAGTTGTATAATAATTAAACATGCATGGATGAATTGCTCACAATAAGATCAATAAGATAACAGATAGGGTAAATTTTTATTTCATGCTGAAAAGTCAGGAAATCATCAGCATGACTGAGGGAATAAGATCCACATACAAACCTGTTTAAGCTTAAACACTATGGCTCTAATCTGTCAACAGTTACCCAAGGAGGCGTTTACACTGCAAAAGAAATCCTAATTTTCCCAGGTTAAACTCCTTAAATTCTCAAAATAAGATCAATTTTCTTGAAAAGCAAAAGATAAAGCCTGTTTCACAGATTGTAGCTTTCACACGTATTTTGTCTTAATGCACTGCTGGATTTTGTCCATTTGTTTAAGTATCAAGTTAAAAACAAGAAGAAAATCTGCCAGTGCTGTAAAACTAAATATTCGTACATTCAAGACAGGGCAGCCAGATCTGGGTAACAAAACCAGCCCATTGCCCAATCAAAAGTAGCCCAAAACTAGCCCAATGGCCAATTAAAGTAGTCCAAAAAGTAACCCAAACAACAAAAATAATTACGTAATCTTCTTTTAACAATTTCTAAAAATATTTTCATTGGAAGTCAAGTCAAAAATATCTAATTAAAGTGTTTTGCAGTGTAATGCCTGAAGAAAGCTAACAGGAATCCATTAGCATTCCTATTCATAATTTGATTCAATTTCCTGAAACTACCAATTTCTGGAACTCCCTATGAAGACAACATGTTCTCAAAACAGAACTGCTAAAAAAGGCATAATGGATGACGACTTTTCAGTTCAGCATTAGCAGCAAAGCTCTGAAACAAAGAGCTTTCACTGCATTTTGAAAGAGGAGATACGCACAACTAAACGGTCAATTATCACCGCTGGTCTGCAGATGACAGGATATGCCTCCCAGGCCCAACAGATCAGATGTTTGGAATTTGAGGCAGCATGATGACCTCATTTTACATGCTATCAGCCGGCAAATGTACAAAAGACACTGATAATGACGTGGAGATTATGAAAGGCTGCCATCTCCAGCAAAGGCCTGCAAGGTCATTCTTCCATGAGAGTAAAG